AATCAATTGGATCACAAAAACCACAATTTTAATTTTTCATCTTTTTTTCCCTGCCAATCAAAACCCATGATCCTTAGAGAAAATCTTCGAACGTCAGTGTTAGCAGTATAGTACAAAAATGTAGGGATTTCTGACCCTCACACACGAGAAACAGGATTTGGGTTAAATTCCATAACTGATAACTTTTCTCGTGCTGATGTTTAAGCTGTATCTAATGGCCTCTAATGGGTATCTTCCTACCCTCGTGTTTCGTCCAGAACAAGGATTGAATAGAGTACCCAAGGTGATTCTCGTACTTTTTCGGTTTATTGATTTTGTTGGTTTTTAGGAATTTCAATTGGGGTTATTCGGTCAACGTTTTGGTTATGTGCACTGGTTTGATTTGATTAATCTAGAACTGTGTGTGCGATTTTTTTAGCTGTTTGTAGTTATTGATGTTTATGTGTAATTATGTATTCTGTGAAATTGTTGTGGGTTTGATGGATTAGGGTTGGATTGTTTTGGGGTTTATTGGAATAGAGTTTTCGAATAGTTCTTGTGGGGTTTGTAATTATGTGCTAGTGTGCGTGTGCATATTCATTAAGGTTGGAGAAAATATCTATTAGATACATAGGGGCATAGGGCAAGCAAAGCTTAATAAAGCTTTAAGTGAGTTCTTATAAACTTTGAACTCGATTCCTTACACGTTTTGAGTTTATATTGGTACTCAAACTCGATAAAGTTCACCTTTGATCTCTAACTATTCTAGAAAGGCCAGGTGCTCTAGGGCTATTGTTGTTGCATATATGCATAATAAGATGCTGTTTTAACTTAATGGACTTAATTGGGACAAGACGTAATTCGATAAGCTATATATGGTTGTTTCTTTGTGACTTAATGCAGAAAGAACGACTTAATACAAAAAGTCAAGGAAAGGAAACTTTCCCATAAAATTTTTTCCTCATTTCCTATAGTATGCCATAATTTTCTCAGATATATTTTGAACATCATTTAATCACTTGTTCTCTCTGTATGTTTGCTTCATGTTATACACATATTTATTACCTGAATGAACTTAACATATTATCGACATTTTTGTACTGCTATGGTTATCATTCATTACCATAATTTTTAGCTTTTCAGATTATTTTTATGCTGTGAAAATTGCATTATGTCGGTTTCATGAGCAATTTAACTTTTTGAATCATCATATTTGTTGAAACAAAACTCCGTTCTTATAGCAAGACAAAAGAAACACCACACATCTTAACAACGAGTGGTTTTGGTAAAGATCTACAAATGTAAATGCAAAAAGATCATTGTTTCAAATTTGAAATCCCCATTTTGACCTTGTAAGTTTCGTGTCTCACTGTCTCTATTGCAGGACTCTCAGCATCTGTTGCCTAATTATGAACTACGAGAAGACTTGATACGTTCAAGTCCCCTGAATATGGGATCAAAACAAATTGGGGATCCATGGAAATCAACAACAGGGCTATTCAACAACAACAATAACAACAACCAGTTTGTCACAATTGACCCCACTTTTACAAAACCTGTGCTCATTGACATGCAAGGTCACCCCTCACTCTCTTTGTATTTTGAAAACTCACATTCAAAGTCAAAGAATTGAAGTGATAATCTTAATATCTTATAATTTCATGGATGATGATGTTGTTTTGTACAGATTGTTGCCCAAACTCGGAGCTTTTCAGCTATAAGTTTGTGATGCCTGGATTACTTGAAGTAGAAAAAGATGGACATGGAGTAGATCTGTCATTGCTTTCCAACCTAACCGGGCTTCAAACTGATTACAAACCATATGTTCCTGATTTGGGTTACATGGATTCACGGCTTATATATCCAAATCCAGAATTTGATTCCCAGAAGCCATTGATGGACTTAGTTGGTGATCTTGTTCAACATTCTGAAATTACAATCCATGAAGATGGACTTGTGTCATTGACTGGGACTAAGAAAGAGATGAAGGACATACTTTCGATTCTTGCTGAGTTTTACTTGTCAAAGAACTTGAATAACTGGAGAAGACACTCCACTTTGGTACCACAGTTTGATAGGTACGTGTAGATGTGTATATAGATATAATAGGCAAAAACGTGTATACATCCTCTTTTGTTGTATTTATGTTTGTAAAGATTGATAATTTTGTGCTATAAACAGGTTGTGGTTTGATGAAACAAGCTATTATGGTTCTGCTTTGGAGATTGAAAACGTGATTGTTGCTCCACAAAAGAGGTATGTCTATTTATTTATTTTTGTTTTGATCTCTAATTGTCCTGCTACTTAACAGAATTAGGTGTTGTTTCTTTTTGACTTAATGGGAAAAATCTCATTTCCTTCTCCCTTCTTAATTTTCATTCCATGGGGGAGAGGTGTTTTTTTTCCTCATTTGTTCATGGAATGGAATGATATATGATAATTATTAATTACTTGTATTTCTATAATCTTCAATAACAATAATATTTCAAAATTTCAGTTAACTTTTTTTTTTTTTTCAAAAGTAACAAAATATTTTTTTGATTATAATTCTATTTTAAGATTATATTTAATTTAATTTAATATTTTTGTAAACAGTTTTTCTAAAATGATAAATAAATCTTCTTTTTGATATTGATATACATATAGTGTATATTTCATACAACTTGAAATATGTTTATATGTAATTTATTAAGCGATATATCTCATCTCATTAACTTTTTTTTTTTTTTTTTTTCTTATTTATCAGTTTAGTTTTATTTAGTTTTTTTAACTATACATAAAAGACCATATTTGAATCAGTCCTTTTTTGTCCATTCCATTCCTTTGTGATTCCACTCCATCATACCAAACAGTCCCTTAATCCTCCAAGCTATATATTGGCGTTCCTTTTTGACTTAATGCAGAAAGAATAAGTTAATAATAATAAAAAAAAGTCAGGGAAACAAGTTTTTTTCTACAAATTTGTACTCAATTTAATCTATATAATGTGACACAGCCCAGAGAAGAGCAAACAGAAGGCATCACAGAAAAAGAAAAGCAACCGTAACAAGACAACAATCAGACAAAACACAAGCAACTACAGTGAAGCCTGTGAAAGCCTTTTATCAATCATTTTTGACAAAAACCGCAACAGTAGTAAAGCTGCAATTGCAATTCCCGCTTTAAAAAAATCGGGCCCCGAGCTACCAAATCTTCTAACCCAATTCTCAGCCAGCATTGCGGGAACCGGAATCGCGGTTCTTTTTTCGGTCATATGTAAAGTAGCGAGCGGGCGGGTCCCGTTTTGTTCATCAAAACTGCTGAATACGGGCCTTGGGCTTGGGCTTGTGTGGCTCTCGTGGGCTGTGAACAGACTTAGGGATACGATTGTGATGATTAATAAGAATTCAAATAAGAAAAAGGGGTTGAAAGATGAGGAAATGATGAAACAATTGGATACAAGTGTGAAGGAAATTTACTTCAGAGCAGGAGCTTTAATGATGGTGATGGTGCTGAGGCTTGCTTGAATTGGAGGTATGGAAAATAGACAGTTGATGTGAAAATGTGTATTATGGTGTAAATGATGTGTGTGAAATAGGGAAGTCGATTTGATTTGTTATATGATATGATATGGAGTCGATATCAAGTTTTGCCTGAAATAACTACTCCTAATCTGGATACATTCTTGAAGGATCATGAAAATTGAAACAATAATTTTGTTTTTTATTTTTACATTCTTATGACATAAATTGATAATCTAAAGGTGGGTTAAACCTTTGATTTTGAATAGGAAAACTTGAAATAGTTATAGCAAATTAGCGAATGAAGTTGGGGTAGAGCCAGAGGTATTGTATATTTGTATTCTCATGGCCACATTGGAAAGGGTTTAGCTATCTACTTGTTAAACTTTACAAGGCTGCAGGTAGTGGAACTCGGCAACCTTCGGCATCGTCTAGTTGTACTCGGCAAACACCGCGCCGCCACCTTGGTTTTTGTTGCTCGGCATCGGAACTCGGCAACTGCTTGCCGAGTTTAAACCTTCCCTTCAACCAATGAGCTAACGGCTCTTTTTTTTTTTTTTTTTTTTTTTTTTTTTTTTTTTTTTTAAATACCTATAAATACAACCCCACACACCACATCAAAACCTATTTCTCCATTCTCTTTAAAAATGTCATCTTCACCTTCATCCTCAGGTTATTTTTGATGCAGTGTTAGAATCGTCCATAGAGGTCATTTAATCCGTTGAACAGAAGATGGAAGAACTACGTCAATAAAATGACGAAAATGCGAGGCGGAGAAAAAGAAGATACATACAAAGAAATAGTGAAGTTGGTCACTAACGCCTCATGCAAGATTAATTTGATGAACACACGACTTTTCAAGGCTATTATTTTCATCGGCGATTCCGTATGCACAAACATTTGTTTCAACGTATAGTCAACGACGTCATGGAAGCATGCCTATATTTCCAACATTGTGCAGATGCTAGAGGTACATTATGGTTTTATTCCCTTACAAAAATGCACAACCGCACTTCGTCAACTAGCATATGCCACTTCCCCGATGCACCAGATGAGACTCGTAGGATGTCCGGACATACTGCACAACAAAACCTACACAAATTTATGTTATCCTAGATTGCCTCCACTGGGAATGAAACAATTGTCCGAATGCATATTAATGCCAATACACCAAGGTGATCATGGTTATCCAACCCCAGAACACAAGTGATAAATTTTGTTTTTCTTCCATATACTTCTATTTCTTTCCCCTGCCCTCCTTTCCCTCCCCTCCCCCTTCTTAAATTTTACACTCAAGAACAAGGTTAATTATTCGATTAGTAACCTCTAGTTTCAGTGCTTCTCTTCATATAACACCAACCATACACAATATTTGTACTCTTTAACGCATATACACATGATAAATATTTATAAAAATATATGTAGCAAATTAACATACATAAATTGATAATACATCAGATACAAACAACAAATACCGTTTTAGTTTCAAACCAGCACCCACCAATACCATATATTAAAATGTCACTTAAACGACACCGTCTTCCCATTAGCACCCATACTTGATGTGGCCCGCAACTTAAGCCTTGCACGGCCAATGAAAGTGGACACCTTGTCATTAAAACTATCGTTCCCAGCAACCGTTTTTGCATCTCCAATATCTGAAGGAGCACTCATTTTCATTTTCATACGACCAATAAAGCTATCAAACCTTGCCTCACCAAACGTCTTCTGATGATCACCCAACTCTTTACCACCATTACCATTACCATTGCTATGTTTCTCCACATTCTTACCAGAAAAATGAACATTCTTAACAGATTTTACCTCTGGGGGAGGAACAAACTCGATCGGAATCTCTTTTCCTGAAAAGGGTTGTTGAAGAGCCATCGGTTGAGTGAAAGAAACACGAGGTTTTGATGAGAATGAAGGACGAAAGCGACCAAATGTAGCTTTACGAATCCTATCACATGAACCCCTTGATGGAGTTTGGCTTGATTGGTTTCTTGCCATGCATGTGTTGCAAATGAAGGTGAGGTGTATATGACCATTTAATAGAAGTATGGCACACGTTAAAGTGTAGAAACAGCAACCGAGTTCATCACTGTTTACAAGCTAAAAGCGATTAAAAAATGTCAAAAAAGGTTTGGCAAACGATTCTGATCACACTTCTAACACGTTGTATATTGAGTCTGGATCGTATGCGGTTCTCTCTTATGCGAACTTTCTCGTGTTAAAATGGAAAAGATGGCGAAAACAACTATTTCTTTCTCAAATTGCAGGTAGAATCAGATTCTTCATCACCCAATAGGTTAACGGGGCCTCAAAAACTAATGATTGTTTTGGAAACATCCAAAAACAGGAATCAGATTCTGGGATTGGCTTCAAAAGTCTAAATATGCAACATTCTAGGATCTTATGTAAAATACTAAAATATGCTCTTGTCAAAGTTAAAACCTCGTAACAATTATCTTACTAGTTACTAGTGACTGGTGAGTCTTTCTATCTACAAGGTTTATACAACGGAAGGCCTAAATTTGGGAAGTGTTCTTTTAAGAAATCGAAACTGTATTTTTTTTTTTGTCGATAAGACATCAGATAGATCCCCAGTAGTTTGGCGATTTTGTAACAATCATTTACGCGAAGTTAATTATACAACAAGAATACGAAAATTAACAAAAACCAATTGTTCAAAGTTTCACGCTTTCTTTTCTGTTTGCCTTCAGTCATTACGTCTTCGAATAGGCAAACAGGGGCATCATAGTTTATGGATATGTTTTTTTTTCCTTAACGTGGATGTTTAAGGTTTAGCCAAAGTAATTAAGCTGGTAAAAATGAAGCAATCGGGCCGAGTTGACATTTAATTACATGATCAGTCGGTTTAATAATTTAGAGTAAATTACACAATTGGTCCCTTTGATTTTGGTTAGTTTGTATATTTGGTCGCTAACTTTTTTAAAATCATACCAACTGTTTCGATTTTAGTGGCTAATCAGTTTGAAAAGACAAATTTAGCCTTGCTGAATTTTTTTTACTTTTTTATATTTATTAATTTATTCCAAAAAAGGCTAATAAAATGTGGGCTATTGATTCCTCTCTTGCCACCCAAACACGAGACAACCTTTGTTTTCTTGCCTTTACATCCGTCGTCTATAGGTCACCACCACCAAACACCCCTTCTTCCTCATCCCTCCTCTATCCTCTCTCTTCACCGGAAACATGCATCACTCGTTCTCTTTTTCTTGCTTTATACCAACGGAAGAACATAAAAACTTGTATCTGCCTAGTTTTTGAAATTGCTCTCGATATTGGTTCTGAAACCATTAAGTTCTGAAACCATTGACCTTTGGAAATCCGATTGTTCAGAACCCTAATGGCTTTCATATCACATGACAAACCTCACCGCACAATTTGTGCGCCATGGTGTGGTGTTACCGCACGAGTGTGGTTCCAGATGGCATTGACCGTACCCTGCTCTCATACTCTCCAATGTTAGAAAAATGTTCCAACTTTTTAATAAAACAATTTAATGTGTTATATGTACCTGCGTACTAGTTTTCTGACTTTTTAACGGTTTTATATGTTTGACCCGCTTTTAGCTACTTTGTTTTAATCTTCATATGTCAATATAAACCAATGTAACTAATCATTGAAGTTCAGAGAATCGATTTTAAGTTTTGTAATATACGCATTCTTTAATTTATGATCTTATACCAAAAAGTTGTAGACATATCTCTTAATAACATTAAGAATTAAAGGAAATAAAATGCATATGCTAGCCCCTGTCTAATTAGATTAGATAACCATATATAAGTTATTTGATAAGTTTAGAACCAGATTCACAGCGAATCAAAACATTTGATGACATATTTGATCACCAAGTTTGAGTTTTCATATAGAAAAAAACTTCAAACATGAAAGTTCATTATATAAGAACTTGACCATTTTTAATCATATCCGGAACTATATACATACTACATACTACGTGGGTGTTTGGATAGAGAAAAAAGAGGGTGCTTATTGTTTATTGTTTATTCCCATCACAATAAGCTAAGTTTAAGTGTTTAGATATGAATCCTTAAAAATCAGCTTATTGTGGTAGGGATAAGATAAATAAACTGATTTTAATAAGCATCTCCTCCTCGGCTTATTGCTTAGACCGGAAGGAGTGGGAGGGAAGCTTCCCTTACTTTTTGTGGGCCATACCCTCCTTTCCCTCATTTTTTTCCCTCACCTAAAACCCAATGAATGGGTGGTTCACCCCTTGCCGTGCTCACTCACGGCCACCCCCTATATATACATATTGCACAAAGAGCTTGCTGACAGGAACAAACATTGATTTCCCTGAGGATGCATAATTTTTAGTATGCGCACGACGTCGAGGAAAATCTAGGCCACGGGGCTCATTTTCAGGTCATCGTGTCGAGGAAAATAAAGGCAACGGGGCTAGTTTTCATGTCATCCTTCGAGAAATCAAGGCAACGTGTCGAGGAAAATGAAGGCAACGAGGCTAGTTTTCAGGTCATCGTTCGAGAATTCCAAGGCAACGTGTTGGGGGTGGCCTCATACATGGGTCGTGGGGCTTGGCTTGGCTTGCCCTGTTGGTGCTCGATACAGCCTCACGATTCAAGATTTTAATAAGCATCTCCTCCTCGGCTTATTGCTTAGACCGGAGGGAAGCTTCCCTTACTTTTTGTGGGCCATACCCTCCTTTCCCTCACTTTTTTTCCCTCACCTAAAACCCAATGAATGGGTGGGAAGCCCTTCCCTAACTTTTTTTATTAAATAAAATTAATTTTTTTTATGATTTATAATTTTTAAATTAATACTAAACATAAAATTTAATTAAAAATAAAAAAACATTTCATTAATTAAAATAAAACTTACATTGAACCTAAAATTTAAAAAACTAGAAAATTAAAAAAAAAAAAAACACAAACTAAAAATCAAACAAACCAACAACGACCTACGAAAAATATTTTTTCAGAATTTTTTCCCTCTTCTTCATCACGAGCTTGAGAGCCGGCCCCAAGAGATGATCGACGTTTTCCATAAAAAACTTCATATCCTCAATTTCTTGTCTCTCCGCCCGCTCCTTTTTCCTTGTTTCTTCTTTTTCTTTGTCGAAAGCTAAACGTTCGGAGAAATTAAGATTATATCGATCAAACGACGATGTTATTTTCCGCATTTCGTCAATGTCCCCGCTGAAATCGGATGCACCC